CTAACTAGTGGCTCGATGTGAAGCTCGTGTTCAAATTTTATAAATACCTACCTAAATTATGAATTTGAGGACAAGAGCAACATCGAAGGATGGAGAAATGAGCCCGCCGGAAGACATCGCTACATCCACTCAGAGAAAACCTACTCAAACACATCGGCGATCAAGATAGCAAAATAAATGTATTTAAATTTGTATTTTGTGTTAGCTATAAATTATGGAGCATTCAAATACATAGCATACATTTCTTATATTTACATAACTCACGCCTAACTTTCATATTTACACGCACAGCTCTCAAATCTTTAATATCACATCAAAAAATGACATTATTACCACTTCTTAAAAGCCAAATGCAGATTATCATGCATAGGTTTAAAGTACCAAAGTGCTATGTATGTAATTATGGAAGACTATGTGTGAGATATGTAAATGCATGAGAATTGTGTGCTACATATGTAAATTCCGTTTTTTGAAAAGTATATGAGGCATTGGATGGACCAGATGGCATAAAAATGAACTCTGACGGTCATGGTAAGTATATGAGGCATTGGATGAATTCCCGATAATTTTTTCACTTAATAATTTTGTGTTAGTGTTTGGCTTAGTTTGTTATGAGCTTATTTAGCTATTAGCCCTGTAAACTGGCCAATTGGGCTGTAATTAAATAGAAATTTTCTAATAACAAAACCCCCCCGCCCTGATTCTCTTCTCTCTCTCTCTCTCTCTTTTTTCCTGTTCTCCAGTTGCTTTTTCGACTGTTTCTACTTGCGTTTCAAAAACACAACACAAGCCTCATATGCTCAATGAACATTCGCGCACTATCTAGCACTTGCAATGGTATCGAAAATTTGAAAGTTGTATATAAGTCTACTTAGCTAGAAGAGAATCGACAGAACCCTAAAAAGCGCATCCCTGTAACACGGGCATCCGACAATTTGATGATGGGAAGGCAATTCGTGTCAGGCGTAGCCCAAATACAAACAAAAAAAGTTTACTTAATGTAGCGTAGCGGTTCACTAATATGGCGCTCTGTGAAAGAGATTCGCAGTTTCGCACCTCTGCCTTGACGGAAGCGAACCCGCCCAGATCTCCCATATGGATCTCGCTCCCCTCCGTATCCATCATAACCGCGACGGCGAACCCCTTCTCCTCGTTCAACCGGCGCACCTGGCGTATAACCCTACGGTGCCAATCGTGCGTGCCGTGGCACATGTTGACCCTCGCGACATTCATTCCGCCGACGGCGAGAGCTTCAATTTGCTCCGCTTGGCATGTGGCTGGCCCGATCGTGCACACCAGCTTCGTTCTCCGCGTGCTTCGGAACCCGTTCTCCTTCAGCTCGGCCTCCGTCACCGCATCGACGTCGATCGCCGATGCGGCTGCGGCGGTGTTCCGTTGTTAAAGGAAAGGATCGCCGGAGCAGGTGATGGACTGAGGTCCGGAGGTGGGGTGTGAGCGGCGGGGGAACTGCGCGGGAAACGGAGTCGCTGGGGGAGGAGCCGCGGGCGGAGGGAATGTGAAGCTAAGAGAGAACGGGAGGGGTTGATAGGGCCTAGTAAGTGAAGGGATTGAGCGGCCATTTGAGGGTTAAGAGGTTCGCCGGAGATGGGTTAGAGAAGTGGACTGTGAGAGGGGAGATGCGGAATGGTATGGGGATTGCAATATACCTTGGTTGGTGGCGACGGCGTTTACGATGTGGGTGGCGAGAGGTGCCGTACTAATTCTCTTTGGTAATTAGTAGAACAGCTAATAAATTTATTAATTTAATGGTTTAATTTTATAAATAGTAATATTTGTATGTAATTATCCCTAATTTTTTTTATCATTTGCTCATGCCAATATATGTATATATATATATATATATATTTTTTTTTTATGTAACATAAAAATGTTACTTTTTACATTTATATCCCTTTTTTTTCCTCAATTGCATACATACCTCACAATTCTTACGCAAATGTTGGTTTTTTTTCCTCAATTGCATACATACCTCACAATTCCTACGCAAATGTTGGTCATTGATGACCCTATTAGGAGAATGGATGATTTATATTTGACTTATGTTCAGAAAGGTAGAGGTAGACCTAAATAGGTTTGGGCACGATGTATAAAGAATGATATTAACTTACTGGAATTAAATGAAAAAATAAATAATGAAAAAAAAACAATTCATATAGCCTAGCCACTTAGTGAGATAAAGGTTTGTTGTTGTAATCTCAATATTTTTTTCAGATCGCATAAAAAATATCATCATTTTAATTGTTAAAAATTAAAATGCGCATTTCATGCATATATAATGCATGCCCCAAGTCCGAAAGGTGGTGCACTACAATAATATATGGCATGATGAAATAAATTAAACATAATAGATATTCTAAATAGGAAAATGTATATCAGAAATGTGTCGGCATGATTCTTAACAAGATCCAACATACTAGAAGGGATCGTCAGCAAAAGATCAAAATATCCGATGGCAGAAGACCAAATGACTCGCTAACAGAAGACTAAGGGACCTACTTGAATAGGTGCAGCCCCATAAGCTAAAGCTAGAGACGCATCGGATGCTAAACATTCAGGCCAACGGCAAGCCAATTGAACTGAGCAAAGTCATCAACCTGCCCATAGCCACTACCCAATTTAACGAAAAAGTTTAGCATTGCCAACCACCTTGCATACGCTCTCCAAGATTCTTTTGGGAGGGCCAAAGATTAATAATGATGAGAGCTAAGAACATTCCAAAGGACCATCTTGTTGAGGTATGATATACTTATCGGATTATGATGATTCACCATTTGTCTGATAGCATAATCTCATCTCATCGATCGAATTTTTTCATCCACAAGTCATAAGTCAATAATCAGAGTGGGATAGTCGACCGACAAAACTAAGCCGGCAAAGCCAAATTCTACTGACCTTAAGTCAGTTAAAGGTCAAGTGACATTATCAACTCAACATGGCTAATAATAGTCGTTGTTGAACCGAAGCCTACCAAGCTTAGTCGATCGAGCATGAAGGTAGCTGAAATACAAACATATAATTATGAAATACCCAAAATATCATCTACTCCCCCCATTAAAGCAAAGACGAGCATGAAATTTCATATATTGTCCCCCTTCATCAATAAATGGAGAGAACATTTTATGAGAAAAGGGCTAATGAACATTTTATATTAATGTTCATTCCTTGCGTGTCTACCTCTCTTTCTCTCTCTCCCTCTCTCTACTTTTATGCTCTTATTAAAATTCATTTATAAGCTCACATTAATGTTCACATTTCTAATAAAGTCATTATATACTATTGTTAAATTATCATTATTTCTATCATGAGCCACTAATTTTAAGGACAATAAAAAGCTTAATTATGGGAATTACCACGCCCCCTACAAAAAACATATTTTTATATCCTTTTAAGGACACATAAAAAATTACAAGTAAAGAAAAGAGCATAACATGTATCTAGAATCTAACAACACAAAATTCAGCATAAAAAAACACCATCACATGATGGTTATCATATGCAAAATACAACTATTCACAACAAATCAATCAATATTGAAGCATATGCATGAAAAGTAGAACATAACAATTATAACCAACTTGGGTGAGATTTCCAACTACCACAATAAGTCTAAAGCAGAAGCACACTCAAGATATGTTTAAAGAAAAACACACAAACCTCAAAGCAATTTCAAAACAATTTCGAAGTAAAGAGACACACAACATTATAAGACTGACATTTAGGTTGCCTCCCAAGAATTGCTTGTTTTAACGTCCCAAACCTGACTTAAGGTCAAATCATTCTTCACATTCTTCCATCAATATCAATTTTCTATTGTAACAATTCGTGATCTCAAACTTTTCTTTGCTTATAGTTTTTACTAAATTCTAAAATTTCAGAATTTCACGCAATTTCTCACTCTCAATTTAATAAGAAATTTTAGATGGTATGTATGGGGGTTTATCCATATATAATTCTTAAGGATATTTTATGGATCCAAAGCTCTTTTATTTGACTCATGTTTTTGCATATTAGTATTTGGCCCATAAAATGTAAAAAATGATTTTCTAGGAGGCAAGTGAGGGGTTCATAAGTCTTTATTGGGATTATCACTAAATTTTTAGACTTATGATCAAACTCTACAAAGCTAATCTTTTTCCTAAAGTTTTTTTTGACACTTCTATACTAGTAAGTCTCACAACCTGCACAAGCTAAAAAAATTATCTTGACATTCATGCAATGCATCGAGATTCGTATCAAATGATGAAAATTTGGGGATGATAAATCGCTTGTAAATTCGTACTTCTTAAAATATTTAATAGTAGTTAAAATCGGCTAGCATTTTAAATTCAATTAATATTTTATTTAAAATTATGATAATTAATTATATATTACTAAACTAATTAATTATTAAATAGGAATTTGTCATTTATTAAAAAACAGTAAATAGTTATTAATTAAGAATTACTTACAAAATTATCAATATTTATTTTTTATTAATTGAGAATTAAATAATAAGTATAAATTTATTTAATTATAATTAATGTAATAATATTTTAATTAATTATTAATTATTAATCAATTAAATTAAAACATCTCTCGCCGAAACCCTCGCATGTCCCTCCCCCTCTGTTTCGTCCCAAAGTCGACTTTTGCGACCGAACACCCTCGCGATATGGTCGCAATTGGAGCTAGCTGAGAACGCAACAACGGGATCGAGGCTTACAGGGAACATTCTCCGGCAAAAATGGGTTCCAATGGGATCAACGAGGACTTATCAAGACAAGTTCGTGTTCGCTTTCTGACTAAGCTGCCTCCGCCGTTTAAAGTTCAGACGAGCTCCATTGCAATTCCAGCTAATCTCAGTAGAATGGGGCTCTCAGAGATTGTGAACCTTCTTCTGAAGAACAGTACTGTTTCTGTCTTTAGCTTTTTTGCTTTTCACTATTTGCGATATAGCATTCAATGTTTCAGTTGATTATCGCATGCCTCTAAGTTTTTATTTTCATGCATGTTTATGCTGCGCATTTGTTATGCTCATTGTCATTACATCCATACTGATGTTGTTTTTTTGGAGCTGTTTGGCTTCATGTGTGATCTAATTAAAGAAAGTTTCAGTAAATATTGTAAATCCAGATTTAGTAAATCTAGTTGTGGGTAAATCTTGAAAATTTGTTGAAGTTAATGTTATATTTAATGAGTTTATTATGATTGATTTGTTTTTTTATATGCTCTAAGCCTACTCTATAAAATGGACTTGGTGTTTACGAGAGAATTATGGTGAGAGGGGTTGAGGTGTAACCCAAAACCGTTTTTTCTTTCTCCCATATGGTGCTAGTAGAATATCCCTACCCTTGAACATAGGCGATTCAATTTAACACCGAAATCACATAATTCTATGTACTTGATTGTTAATATGTGAATTTATATACATCCGCATTGTTTTCGCATAAAAATTGATGTCAAAGCTTCGGGCTCGTGATCGAAATGAGGTTCAGTGTCGACGACAACAAATCCGATGTGTGTTGCCGAAGTTTTTTGAAGCAGATGGTCCAACTTATTTTGCCGGTAGATTTGAAGGTTGCGGCGAGGTCTGGCGCAATTAGATAGAGGCTTGGCAGGGAACACACGTGGTCCAACCGAGGTTTTGCGTGGACCAGAGCGAGCGGCGGCTCTAGTTGCGGCAGGTGGTGTTTCCGATGAGGTTCTAAAGGCAGTCGGCGGGGACCAGAAAGCCTGGACTGGGAAAAGTTCCTTTTCTTGTTGGAGAAAGAGCTGCGCGTGGAGAAGAGTTGTGCAAAAGCCAGAAAAAGGAAGATTTTTGTTCTCAAAGCCAGAAAAGAAGGAAACATTTTATGCTTTGAAGGCAAAGTGAAGAAAAAAGAAAGCTTAGGAATCAAAAGAAAAATTTATGAGTTAAAGAATTTCAGGGAAAAAAGAAAAAAAATAAAAGAAAATAAATTTTCAGAAAGAAAAAATAGAGAAATATTATTTTTTATTTATTTTTAGATAATATTTTTTTAGTTGTTTGTTTGCTTTTTTTCCAAGTATTTTGCTAGAGGATTTTTTTTGGGAAAGTGGTTCCAACTGTTAAAACAATAAACTATAGCATGATGTTAGGTTTTTCAACAACTATCATAACAGTGAAAAAGTCAATTCATCAGGTGGTTATGAATTCTGTCAAAATTGGTGTTATGAAATTTGATGACAAATGAAATTTTGGCATGCGACAATACGATGTGGTGAATGCGCTGTGTTCTTTGAATCTGGAGGAAGTCTTGCATAGTGAGGAATGTTTTGAAGAGGTGTTAGAGAGAGATTGGTTGAAGATTAACACGAGTGTTTGTGGCTTGATCTAAAATTGACTACCTGAAGAGATCAAATATGGGGTGATGATAAAGACTTTTGTAAGAAAATTGTGGAGAATATTGGATAACAAATATCTCACGAAGAGCGTGGAGAACCACCTTCATATGAAGCGTCGACTCTACAGCTTTCATATGAGATGGAGGTTTCTATTGATGTACACTTAAATGACTTCACAAAGTTGTTGGTTGATCTGTTAATTTTGTATGAGTTTGGAGATGAAGACAAGACGTTTCTTCTGTTGAATTTGCTCTCAGATGAGTACGAAAACTTAACTATAACTCTCGTTCATGAGAAGAAGGTTTTAAATTATGGCAAATTAACTACGTCATTGTTGAATCACGAGTTTCGTTGAATAGACAAGGAGTTCGCAAAGACGAAATCATCTGAGGTCTTTCTACACCAACGCGATAAATCTGAGAAAAAGAAGAATTGATCAAATAAAAATGACAGCGGCAACACTTCTTAAAAGCAGGGCAAATCTTGTAGGCGTAACCTTGGGAAAAATCAATATTTTTTTTTCTGTTTAAAGATTGATTATTGGAAGAAATATTGTCCGAAATTGAAAGAGAAGAGAAAAGAAGTTGCATATGAGGAAAAAACCAATTTCATTGTGAAAATATGTGAAGAGGCGGATTTAAATGTATCACTATTTGCAGAATTTCATAGTTTGTTTACAGATGATTGGTGTTTGATTCTGGTTACAATTGTCATCTATCATATTTGTCATCATCGATGATAATTCTGCATATAAAAGAAGCTAGATAGTGGTGTAGTGACTGCGGACAAAGATTAAACTTGTTATATTGGTGTAGGGAGTATTTTTTATCAGGATGGACGATAGTGTGAGGGAGTTAACTGATGTTAAATATGTTTCAAATATGATAAAGAATTTATTGTCAATTGGGGCTTTAGATTCCAAGGGCTACAAGATAGTTATTGAAGCAGAAGTTCTGAGGATATGTCGTGAAGCAATGATTTTTATGAAGGTAGTTTGTCATCACTATGTTCACTATCTTCAGGGTATTACAGTGACTAGAATGGATGTTGTTGCAGATAATTTTTCTAACGCCACTATCTAGTGGTTTATGCACTTAGTTCATGCTGGAGAGGTTTCACTTCAGACTTTGGTGAAAAAAATGAATGATGAAAGGAGCGAGTACCTGCAAGCTTGATTTTTGTGAACTTTGTGTATTTGACAAGAAGACACGAAGATCTTTTGAGATTGTCATTCACCGTACAAAGATAATTTAGATTATGCTCACACAGATGTTTAGGCCCCAACGAAGACAACATCATTCAGTGGGCGTAGATACTTTGTCTTTTTTATTGACGACTACTCCAGATATGCTTGAGTTTACACCATGAAACGTAAAAGCGAAATGCTGACAAAGATAACATCATTCAACAGATGAAGATACGTCTTCTTTATTGATGATTACTCCATGTATGTTTGGGCATAACAAAAGTGAAGTGCTAGAAATTTTCATAACTTGGATAAAGTGGATTGAGATTTGGGCTGGTAAAATAATCCGATGTATCAGATTAGACAATGAGGACGAATACAGTTTGAATACGTTCTTGCAAGTGTCAGAGAGTTGAGATAGAACACCACTTCACTGTTCGAGAGACGTCACATCAAAATGGGTTAACAAAGAGGACGCCGAACTTTGGTGGAGAAAGTTCGTTGTATGTTATCTAATGTTGGGTTGGATAGAATCATTGGACCGATGCCATTGATTATGTCTGTCACTTGGTGACTGCCTGTCTTCCGCAGCTATTGGGAAGAAGACCCCAAATGAGATGTGGATAGGGCATCTTGTTAGAGATTATGAGCACTTGAGAGTGTTTGAATGTTTAGCTTACGACCATGTGCAGAATGATAAACTAGAACCACGAGCAAAGAATGCGATCTTCATTGGGCGTCAAGCTATATGATCAATCAAAAAGGAAAGTTGTCATTAGCAGGGATATTACATTCAACAAGACAAACTTGTTGAAAAATCAAAACTTAAAGTAGGTGAAGAGTTATACTGGGACCACATATATGCAACAAAAGTTGAAGTTTGATGAAACTCCATTTCTTTTACAAAGTTCGTCCACTCTGAATCAGATATCTGATTCAGTTGCAGCTCAAGATGTATCTGTTGATAATGCTTAGAAGGTGGTGAAAGAAAATGTTGAGGATGGACTCTATTACAAGGAACAGGACCAGACACCAGAATATCCCAAAACTAGCTTAGTTGGTGGATCACATTGCATTTGCACTTTCAGTTATAGGGACAAAAATTCATTGTTACTATAAAAAAAGCAGTGGAAAGCCCAAGCCGTGATCTTTGGAGAGCAGCAATAGATGAAAAGATGAAATTTCTTCGGAAGAATGGTACTTGTACGTTGGTGAAGCTTCCTCTGAGAAATAAAATCATCAGGTGCAAACGGGTGTATGCAAATAAATAAGGATCTCATGAAGTTGATGTGAGGTACAAAACAAGATTAGTGACAAAAGATTTTGCACAATGAGAAGGGATTGATTATGACGAAGTGTTCGCTCCTGTGGTCAAACATCTATCAATTCGTGTTTTCTTAGCACTCGTAGCATATTATGGCTCGATCTTGGAACAACTTGATGGGAAGATTGCATTCCTAGATGGAGAATTGCAAGAGGAGATCTACATGTTGCAGCCACCTATATGTGAGTATCAAAAGACTTGATTTGCAAAATGAACAAGACTTTGTAAGGGTCACCACAATAGTGGTATGAAAAATGCAAGAGGAGATCTACATGTTGCAGCCACCTATATATGAGTATCAAAAGACTTGGTTTGCAAAATGAACAAGTCTTTGTAAGGGTCACCACAACAATGGTATGAAAAGTTTGATCAGTTCATGAGGGGACATGACTGTACGAGGAGCCAGTATGATAATTGTGCATATTTCAAGAAGTTGGGTGATGATGAGCTCATTTACTTGCTTCTATATGTTGATGATATATTGATTGTATCTGCAAGTCAGATTGAGGTTGATGGAATGAAGAATCGACTATCCAAATATTTTAAAATGGAACTGGTGAAGCTCGCACAATTCTTGACATGGAGATTCTGAGGGACACGAGAACTGAAAATGTTTGTATTTCGTCAGAAGCTTATTTTCAGAAGGTGCATAAGCAATTTGGAGTTGATGACTTGAGTAAGGCGGTGAGTCTACCCATTGCATCTCACTTAGTTGAGTTCAGATCAGTGTCCTAAAGATGATCAAAAGACAAAGATATGCGATCGGTTCTTTTGGGCAGTCTGACGTATGTCATGGTTTGTATTAGACCAGACATTACATAAGTAGTTGGTGTTGTGAGTAGGTTCATGCATGATCCGAGAATGAATCATTGACAAGATGTGTAGATTATTCTGAGTTATTTGAAGGGTACAATTGATGTTGGCTTGGTATTTGAGAGGCAGCCATCCAGTGCAGATTTGTGTGTAGGCTACACTGACTCAAACTATGCAGGTGATATTGATATTGTTGCTTTCTCTACTACGATTGGTTATTTATTCATATTGACATGAGGTACAGTCAGTTAGAGGTCAGTTCTTCAGTCTATTGTTGTTTTGTCTACTACGGAGGGTGAGTACATGACAGTCACAAAGACGATGAAAGAAGCAATATGGATGCATGATCTATTGAATGACTTGGGAGTTGATCAAGAATTTCTGACGGTATTCTGTGATAGTCTGAGTGCAATATTCTTGGCCACAAATTTAGTTCATCATGCTCGTTCCAAGAAAATTGATGTGAGATACCACTTTGTTCGGAACTTGATTGAAGAAGACAATGTTCTGTTGTAGAAGGTATATATAAAGAAGAATCCAGTGGACATGCTCACGAAGGTCCTACTGGTCCAGAAGTTCATCTAATGCATAAATTTGGTGAACGTTTAAGCTCAGGTTTGATTGCCCAGGAGGGCATATTGAAGAATTACGCGAAACTTGATCCCTTTAGGAGGGGATACGTAGGCAACCATCTTGGTGCGGCTGAATTGGAGTTTTGGTGCTCATTTGACCATCTCTCACTAATTTGAAGGTAAGAAATGGGATGAAGATTATTATATTTAATGGTTTTATTATAATTTATTTGTTTTCTTTTTTTTTTATTTCTTTCTTTATATGCTCTAAGCCTCCTCTATAAAAGAGGACTTAGTGTTCATGAGAGAATTATGGTGAAACCTTGAGTTGTAACCCCAAGCCGTTTTTCTTTCTTCTATTCGATGCTAATAGAATCTCCCTCCCTGTGGACGTAGGCGAATCAATTTAACTCCGAACCACATAAATCTTTGTGTTTGATTGTTGCTGTGTAAATTTCTATGTTTCCGCATTGTTTTCGCATAATAGTTATATATTGTACTATAGTAGAATCACAGTGAATTGTTTGGTAGATATTTTTAAAATTTAGGATTTAAATAAAGGCGAAGAGGAGAAGCAGTGAGAAGGGGAGCAAATCACTCAAATAGCGATCCCCAAGCATTTCCTAATTCCATGGTTTGGATTAAAACAAGAAGATGTGAAATTTTGGAAGATAACATAATTTATATTGCTAAAAAAAATCGTTTTACATGTTTTAGCGTAAAGCCTGGCCACCTTTTAGTCGCCAACATTTTTCAAATTCCCAATCTACAATTTTATGTAAATTAGATGGTCAATTTCAAGATTTGTATCACATTGTTCTATTTGTTGAACAACTAGCATCAGCTTGTCTAGAATGATTCATATATTATTTTGGGGCATTTACATAAATACCACCCAATTCCTATATATTTACATATATAACGCCTAAATTGTTTTCTTACATTTAAGCCACCCAAATCTCTTATATCACATAAACAATACGGCTATTTTAACTTTTAAAAAATTAAATACTCCTTTTCATTCATAGGTAGGTGGCATATATGTAAAAATTAAATTTTATGTAAATACATAAGAATTGAGTGGTATGTATGTAAATCTGCATAGTATTTAATGCACGAGGTCAATGTTTCTAATGTTAATGGCTGCTTTATATTTATGCTTGTTACAATTAGGCAATGCAGAGTTCGAAACTACACCTTTTGATTTTCTAATTGATGGAGAACTTATTCGAATGCCGCTAGAACAATTTCTTCTTGTGAAGAGTATATCTGCTGTAAGTATGCATGACCTTTATATTAGGCGCATTTACAAACATACCACACAATTCTTATGTATTTATTTATCTAGCACCCAAACTTTACAATTTACATGCATTGTAACTGATGTGTTGTATTTGCAGGAAAAAATACTTGAAATAGAATATATAAGGGCTGTAGCTCCTCGAAAGCATGAAGATCCACATTTGCATGATGATTGGGTCAGCTCAATAGATGGATCTAATCCAAGGTATTTACATTTATATCCTCGATCTAAATATTATTTTTGGTCCTAGTTTAATCTTATGAACCTTTTTTTTTATAATTTTATGCCTGTCATCATTAACTTCCAGAATGAGACTCATATTGCATGGTTGGAGATTGCTATAGTGCTCATCATGTATGATGTAAAAATATTGTTTTTTTTTATATATCGTTTGATTTATTTTGAGCATTTATGCTAATTTAATATGTTTAATTTTGTCTAATTTAAGAGAAAGTGAGCTCTACCTTTTGGAGTATTATTTTTTAGTGAAATTTACATATGTAGCACACATTTCTTATGTATTTACATGTTTCACACCTCAACTTTCATATTTACGTACATAAGACTTTGGTACTTCAAACCTATGCATGAAACGGTGTATTTCACTTTTGTATTTCACTTTTAAAAAGTCACTTTTAAAAAGTGGTAATAGTGCTATTAAAGATTTGAGTGCTATGCGTAAATACAAAAGTTTAGGTTTTAGATATATGAATACATGAGAATTGTGTGCTATGTATGTAAATGCTCTTATTTTTTATTTGTGATTTGGGGATAAGTAAATAAAAATTATTATCATTGATATGACTCTAAGCTCAAGGCAGACTCTTTAATAGATGGTAGATCAGTTCTCTTTTGTTTCATCAATTTGTTTGCAACAGCATTTTATTTGCTAAAATTGAATTGCAGCATTTCCAATATTGCATTCTCCTCTTTTAAAAGAATGGTTAGTATCATTCAACATTTTTAAAGTATTCTGTGTGTTGTGATAACTTAAAATTGATGCTTTTACGACTATCAATTATATTTCTTATCAGCATTTTTATGTTTTGCTTTCTTGATATTTGCTGATGCTTAAGAATTATTTCCTCATCTCAATATCTTTGTAATTGCTTTAATAATAAACAAGTCAATAATTCGAAAAAAACACTATTATTCCTGTTGTATCCTTTTGTGTTATGTTACAATAGTTGTATTTTTGGTTACTCTACCATTATTTGAAGCCTCATTGATACTTGCTGCATCACATATGCATTTTTATCCATCAATTTTTTTTTTTATTTCATGCTGCTAATTTTCTGCTTTTGCAGATTTGTTTTGACTGGTTGCTATGATAATCTTGCACGGTAGATTTTTTGCTTCTCTTGTCACTTGAGATTTGTTGCATCCCCTCTGCAAACCAAATGAAAAAATAAAAAAATGCATAATTTATCTTTGTGACTTTTTTCATTAGGATATGGAAAGATGGTTCATTTTGCACGCATAGCTTGCAAGGGCATAATGGTGCAATTACATCTGTCTGTGTAATCAATCAAAAAGGTTGTTAATTCAATAATATTTTGCTTGTCGATATTTGCATTTTTTTCCTCATATACTTGTGTTCTTTTTGCCAACTGCTTTATGCTTTATATAATTTTGCTAAGTTATATTTTCTCAGGAAATTCTAGTCGTAATGACATTTGTATAGCCACTGGTTCAAAAGACAAGACGCTGAGGCTATGGATGGTATGATACATGCTAATCTAGATTCATTCATTAAAAACTTGGGGCTTGTTTGGGATCAATTTTGTTTCTATTTTATATTTTTTAATCTTTTCTTTTATTTTTAAAACATGTTTGTTTGATGTGTTTTTAAGGTGTTTTATTTTTTTGTTTTAAAAACAAATTAGTATATTTTTGAAAACACTCAAATTAACTTTTAAGACTTTTAAAAAATAACTGTACTTTAATCAAAAAGTCAAGCAAGCTTCATTTCAAATTAGAACATAAACAAAGAAATAAAATAAGATGAAAACAAAAATGATCCCAAATGGCCCTTCATTTTTTTTTCCCATACTGATCTTTCATGAAATGAAGTTTGATGTAGCGGAATCTGCTGATAATCCAGTTAGGATTGGAGCATTTAAAATTCTCAGGGGGCATACATCCTCAGTGCAGAGCATCTCAGCTATTCCTTCTGGAGATATGGTTGGATGCTCATTTATATTTTCTTTTCTAATTATGATTCTGTTCTTTTGATCATGTTTCGTGTTTTGGATATTTACACAAGTAGTACACAATTCTCATGTATTTACATATCTCACTCCAAAACTTTAATATTTACATACATTTCATGTTGGTGCTTTAAAACTATGCATGAAAAGGTGGTTTTGACTTTTCAAAAGTGGTAATAGTGCTATTTTGAAGTCATATTAAAAAGTTGAGTACTATGTCTTGAAATATGAAAGTTTAGGTGTGAGGTATGTAAATACATAAGAATTATATGCTTTGTATGTAAATACCCCTTTGATTTTTTTCTCATGACCTTGATGCTAAGTAAAGGATCTATCCCCATTTAGGTATGCTCAGGCTCGTGGGATAGTTCGATCAAGTTGTGGAAAGTTGTCTCTGAAGGAGATGGCGACTCTGTGTCAATAAAGCGAAGAAGGCTTATAACTAATGTTGACGAGCCACAATTGGAGGTATATGCAACCATATTTTTGTTTAATTGCTATATAATTAAATGTCCCTATTTTTTTGGGCAGCATAATTCGTCTAATTCATGTACATACGATCAAGAAGATCTTAACAAAGGGACATATTGTATTGTATGATGATTTGAAAAATGGAAAAAAAAAAGAATGATACTTTCATTGCACTTGCAAAATTAAGAGTCTGTTTGGGAGCAGCTGCAATTGTTTTAAAGATTGAAGCTGCTGCAGAAGAAATTGTTTTTCAAAAAGTTGTGGCGGCTATTATAGTTTTTTTTTAAAATCAGGTTGCAACTTTCTACTAGTTTAGGTGGCAAAACACAGCTTTCTACAGACAAAATAAACTTTTGCCAAACCGAAAAAACCGCGGCGCGGCACCGCACCACTACCCCAAACACACCCTAAAAGAGAGTGGGCGGCAAGGGACATTTACGAAGATACCCCACAATTCTTTTGTATTTAAATATCTAACACCTGCACTTTAATATTTACATGCATTGTACTCAAATCTTTAATATCACATAAATTATACCACTATCACCTACTTTTGAAAAAGCAAATATACATTTTCAAGCATAGCGTCATCACACCAAAGTTTTATAAGTATAAAGATGATATTTTAGATGTTAGATAGGTAAATATAAAAGAATTGTGTGTTATATATGTAAATGCCCCTAAAAAAAGGTGAACTAATAACCTTTAGTCATGAACCCCACTAGTTTGCCTGCATGTGTTTGAATTCTTAGGGATGCTTTATAATTATCAAATAGATCAACAAAATTGCTTCTACACTACATGTCGCTATTTTTTATACTCAGCAGATGGCCATCTGAGACTAGGAAGTGTGTATTATATGTATGCTGCTATGGAATTTTCAATTTTTTCAAATTTTCCACATTATTTCGTTCATTCGATGTAATCCATGAAATCTATGATTTTTATGTACACTTCTTTATTTTTACTTTTTTTTTCATGTATCCCTTGTGATTATGGTTGGCTGAAACTAAATTTTTATATTTGTATGTAATTGTAATCTTCATCAAGTTTCAAATTCTGCTTTATTTTTCTGGCTATATCATGTAGAATTTTTGTTTTTCCCGTCTAAAAATAATGTATGAAAATTTGATTTATCATGGGTTTTTATTTCTCAGTTACAATTACTTATCATAATCTTCTCATTATTATCTCTTAGGCGGAAGCTACAGCAGATCTTGTTGGTCATACACAGTGTGTATCATCTATCGTCTGGTTAGAGCCTCAAACCATATATTCAGCATCATGGGACCATTCTATCAGAATCTGGGATGTTCCATCAGAGAAAGCAACATCGAATTTGGTAAGATATAAACGTTTAATTTTAAGTAGGAAGATTTACATACTTACCGCTCAATTCTTTGGTATTTACATATCTGTAGAATTTACTTGGGGAGGAAAATTGCTTTATCCATTATTCGCAATTAGAGAATAGATATACGGAGAAACCAATCTCTCCTTATTTACAAACTTATCAAATATATCCACCCTAAATTAGGAAAGAAGTTAATCCTATAATAAAAAATAGAATGTCATAAAGTAGAGAGGGAATAAACTAATCTAAAGGTTTTCTAAGTTGTCCCAATTAAATCCTCTAAAGTTTGGAGGTGGCTGGATGGCCCACGAGAGAGAGGGAAAAGCGAAAGAATGGATCTTCTCAGTTTTCCATAATATCTAACACTGAAACTTTAATTTTTACAGACATACCACCCTACACATGCATGAAAAGGTGCATTTCACACGTAGGTATTTTTAATGTGATATGAAATATTTGGGTGGTATAAATGTAAAAATTAAAGTTTAGTTGTTATTTGTTAGATTTGTAAATCCTTAAGAATTGGGTGGTATATTTTTAAATGCCTCTTTAAATATTAGAAAATCTTGTTCAGCATAACAAAGCTATGTTTATGCATTCAAATTGGAGGTTTTGAAATGCATATTATTTGTATTCTTGTTTGGAATAAAGCCTGTATTTGCAGTCTTCAAATTCAGAATATGAACTATATTTTTTTCAGATTATTCAAACTTGCGAGAATTGGTAACTCAAACTTTTATTTGTAGCAAATGATGTTTTAGCTTTCTATGGCACAATATTTGTTTCTTAGATCGGTGAGCCTCAAATACTTTGTTGTGACAAGTATGAAATTTTCACTTTAGAATAGGAAGATTTACCTACATAGAACTCAATTTCTATGTATTTGCACATCTACTAAACTTAAATTTTTACATACATACTACCTTACCTATGCTTGATAAGGTGCGTTTCACTTTTTAAAACTTAAAATTGTGGTATTTTTGATGGGATATGAACAATTTGGGTGGTATAAAATAAAAAAATAATAATAAAAAAGTTTAGGCGTTAGATATGTAAATAAATAGGAATTGGGTGGGATGTATGTAGATGCCACATTAGAATATTGTGTATATACTGCAACTGATGTCGTGAAACTTCAACCATACTGTCGAGCAGGTTTGTGGGAAAGCTCTGAATTGCCTCGATGTTGGAGGTGAAGGGTCCGCACTTATTGCTGCTGGAGGTTCGGATCATGTCTTGCGAGTTTGGGACCCCCGCAGGCCGAGTAAATAATCCCAAGAGCCTAATTTCCTGCAAATCTAAATTTCTCTTCAAGTTTTATGAATTTGATTCTATTTATTTCAGGTAGTTCGGCGCCAATTTTTCAATTCTCGTCTCATTCGCTTTGGATTAGTGCTTGTAAATGGCACCCGAGATCCATATTTCACTTGCTTTCGGCTTCTTATGATGGGAAGGTTATGTTATGGGATTTGAGAACTGCGGTATGGTACCATATTCGTCATATGTGCTAGGGATATTTACATACGTAGCACACAATTTTTATCTATATACATATGTCACATATAAACTTTCATATTGACACACATAGCATAAAAAATAACACGATTACCGCTTTTTAAAGTCAAATGCACCTTTTCATACATAGCTTTAAAGCACCAAAATGTTGTGTGTAAATATTGAAGGTTAGGTGTTAGATATTGTGTGCAGCGTATGTAAATTCTTCTGTGCTCTAACTAATCATCAAAGTTAGTCTTCCTCTTCTGCATACTGATATTATTTGAGAAATATTTTTTGTTTCAGTGGCCTTTAGCGAAAATAGATGCACATAAGGATAAGGTAGTTATTACTCATCTTTTTTCTGCCCATATTTAAGTTCCTTTTTTTTTTTTGCATTTTGATTTATTTCTTTGGATGGATTCAGGTACTGTGTGCAGATTGGTGGAAAGATGATAGTGTAGTTAGTGGAGGAGCTGATTCAAAATTGTTCATTTCTTCAGGGATATCAATAATTTGAAACTTCTCAATGGTAATACTCTTTTTCACTTTACAGTATTCTCTTGTACATATATTTGAACTGGTATTTATGTAATATAACACATTCTTATGTATTTACATATATCACACCTCAATTTTGATAGTTATTTGTGTAATGCTTTATCATCTCAATCACTTCAAAACATATGTATGAAAAGGTGTATTTCGGTTTAAAAAGTTTGATTTAGTCATATTTTTGTATGTGATTTAAATAATCGGAGGTTATTTAGGCAAATATCAAAGTTGAGATGTTTGATATATAAATACATCAGAATTGTTTGAAATTTATATAAATATTCCTGTTTTTGAATTAGTTGACCGTTAAGCTGGCATTGGTTTGAAAATATGGGTTTTCCCTCTATTCCTTGGAGCTGAATATGTCGCAACATATCATAGACTTTACAAATTATAACGGCTAAATGAATTGCATTTGATATTTTGATTGAAATCCTAAATCTAAATCATGGTAGGTAGATTTACATACATTCAACTTAATTGCTATATATTTACATATCAACAACAACAACAACAACAATAGGCTTTATCCCATTAAGTGAGGCCGGCTACATGAATCTTTGCTCTCCATTGCGTCGCACTGAATGCCATATTTTCATTTAATTCTAATAAATTAAGATCATGTTTCTAACAACTTGCCCAAGTCTTTTTAGATCCACCTCTACCTTTCTTAATATAAGTTGAATCTAAAACATCTACTGTCCTAATTGGATCATCGGATAGTTGACGTTTAATGTAACCAAACAATCTAAGATGACTGTCTCTAATTTTGTGGCTACACCAACACTTTCACGGATATATTCAGCCCATCCATCTAAGCATTCTCATCTCAACAACACTTCACTTAGTTTTATAATTCTCCTTCATCGGCCAACATTCCACGCCACAAGGCATTGCAAGTCTCATCACCATCTTATAGCTAATATCTAAATTTTGATTTTTACATTTATGCCATGCATGAGTCTCATCACCATCTTATAGCTAATATCTAAATTTTAATTTTTACATTTATGCCATGCATGAAATGTGTATTTCACATTTTAGAAGTTACTAACGGTATTTTTGATGTTATATGAAAGATTTGGGTGGTATGAATGTAAAAAAGTAAAGTTGAGGTGTTAGATATGTAAATACATAAGAATTGGGTTGAATATATGTAAATGTCCCATCATGGTAACATTATAACTGCTTGAAGCATCAATTTTGCCTTTTTAATGGCTTTCGTAACTGCAGATATCTGGAGCTACGCTGTGCCTTCAGATGAACTATTAGAGGGACCATGAAGTAATTAGTGAAGAGTTTCAATTTTGCTCATATCTTATGCACCCTTTTGAGGGAAACCTTTTTTTTATATTAATTTAAAATTTATTTAATTTATTGAATGTCAGAATACTGTTATATTGTTTAGCAGAAAGTGTTAAGAGATGAACTGTTTTTCTTTCGATGAAATCATATATAATTTTTCTCTGTTATTGATTGTGCTTATGAGCTCATAATCATATTTTCCTTGTTAAATTAAGGTGTTTGATTTGTTTATAAATTATCGCTCATCTATATGGATTAATTTTGTTGTGTTGCATATGAATAATTTAACTTCATTTTGAGTTAATAAATGAATACATATATATATATATAAGGAATTGCCATAGGCTATGATACAAGCCATGATCATCCTATAATTCGAGTACCACACTCTACATTCGGGGGAAATCGAACCTCATACTAGAGAGAACTTACAATTGATAAGCAGATGCCCGACTAAATGATCTGGGTAAGCGGTACATATAAGTTCAAATTATATATATATATATATGTATCTTTGAAGGTTGTAAGTCCCCTCAAGTGATAAATTCAAATCTCCATCTAGCCAGTTTGCCAGTAGTGAGAGCGGTCCTCAAATAATTAGGCATATGAGGGTGACTGATTGAGTTAATAAATGAATACATATATATATATATATATAATTTAGTTTTTTATATTTATTCTATAATATCGAGATTTTAAAATAAAATTATTTTTATGAATAAAATTCAAGATTTTAAAATTTGGGATGTTTATGATGAAGCAAATGCTATGTGGGATAAAGTAACATACTGTTAAACAAGTAGTAAAAGATGTACTTGGAGAATTAAAAGAAAAAGTTTTTTTAAATAAAAATAGTTGGTGGTGAAATAATAATGTGCAAGAAAAGATAAAATATAAGAAGTTATGTTGTAAAAATTGGTTTAAATATAAAAACTTAGAGAATTGAGAAAAATATTAAACGACCCGCAAAAAATCTAAAAGAACAATATGTGACGCTGAAAATTCTGCTTTTAACGATATTTATAATAGATTAGACACTGAAAATGGTGAAAAATATATGTATAAACTAGCCAAATAAAAAGAAAAGGAAAGTAAAGATTTAACTCGAGCGGCAAACCCCACACCAAAAATAGTGCCGACAATGTGACACTGAAAATTCTGCTTTTAATGTTCTTTATAATAAATTAGATACTAAAGATGGTAAAAAATATATGTATAAACTAGCCAAACAAAAAGAGAAGAAAAGTAAAGATTTAACTCAAGTGTATTAAAGATAAAAATCAAAAAGTGATTTTCTTAGAAAAAGATATTCAACATAGGTGGGTGAGTTATTTTGATAATCTATTTAATGAAGTTTCTGAAAATACGATCAAGCTTAGTGATCTTAATATTATTAATAATAATAATCCATTTTATTTTTACCGTCGCATTAGTAAAAAATAAGTTGAGGAAGCTTTAAAGAAAATAAACAGTGGAAAGTCTGTAGGACCTGATGATATCCCAATTGAAGTATGGAAATGTTTGGGAGATTTAGGAGTTTCTTGGCTTACTAAACTCTTTAATATTATTTTAAAAACTAAAAAGATGCCTAAGGAGTGGAGGAAGAGTATTTTGGTCCCCATTTTAAGGAATAAATGGTCCCCATTTTTAAGAATAAAGGGGATGCACAAGAGTGTGCAAATTATAGAGGAATTAAGTTGATGTGTCATACTTTAAAATTATGGGAGAGGGTAATTGAACATAGGTTAAGACACATCACAAAAATTTCTCATAATCAATTTACAGGTCTACTATGGAAGCTATACATTTATTGAGAAGTTTGATGAAGAAGTTTAGAGATAATAAGGAGAATTTAGATTTGATTTTTATTGATTTAGAATAAGCTTACGATAAGGTTTCAAGAGATATCCTATAAGGTTCCAATAGATATCCTTTATATCCTTTGGGAGTTCTTGAGAGGAAAGGTGTTGATATGACTTATGTTCAAGTGATTATATATATGAATACTAAAGTTGTTACTTGTGTTCAAATTGAAGGAGAATTGAGCTGAATACTAAAGTTGTTACTTGTGTTCAAATTGAAGAAGAATTGAGTATGATTAAATTATGGCCTCATAACTTCAAAAATAAATATTTAATAGATTTTATATCAGGGGGTTTTAATGTCAACGGGTGTCCTGAACCACCGCGTGGGGGTAATAACCCTAACCATGACTTTACCCAGAATGTACGTGGGGAAGTTCTATAACTGCCCTTGAACACGAGAGGCTCTGAATGGATAAAGCATAGTCTTTAAACACTAAAATGGACATTGGATGTGTCCCGTGTCAAAATTATCATCACCCAATGGAGAACTCTCTCAGGTATGGTTGAATCAATACCGATCCATGTTCTGTGCTCGAGGCACATACTAGGAAGTTTGAACAAATGTCTTAGATTATGGGAGACTATAAATGAGTAAAACTCAATCCCGTAGCATTCAAGAGGACTCTCCACACATGTCATCAAAAGTGATGTCAACATTTGTTATTATCAATTCTAAAATGAAAGTGTATTTTCCTTCCTCTTCAAGATTAAGGCAAAGAAGTCCCTTCTCCTCTTATCTTTTTTTCATTATTATGGATTCTTTATCTTTTGCCTTTAATTCTCAAAATAATGCTGGTAATGATGCTATTATTTTTCAGGATGACTATCCTATTTCTCATCTTATTTATGCTGGTGACATACTGTGGGAAAGCTAACAACAAAGAGCAATTCTTCTAGTTTCATGTCAAGAAAACCAAATCATCTATTTGTTTTTTCAAACTTGTTGTTGTTAATATTCAACGTGTTTTATATCATTAGATTGATTTTTCCAACAAAAACAAGGCCTTAGAATTACTGGGGGTTACTATTAAGCCCTCTAGGTTTTTGATTGTTGATTGTGGTAAGCTTTTAGATAAGTTACATTTATGGTTTGTTGATTGAAAGAAAAAAATTACTTTCCGCGGCTGGGATATTAAAACTATTTAGTTATACCAATTTAAATTATCTTTATTATTGGTTTTGTTTTTCTATTTAGAAAAAAAATTCTTCTTTGAATACAATTTTTTTATATAATAATGATAATAGTAGGAGTTTGAATATGATTGCCATGAGTATTGTTAATATGCCTAAACATAAAGACGACGTTGACCTTTCTTCTTTAGATAATATTACCTTTATGTGCAAAGCAAAGCCCATTTAGATAATGTTTAACACTTATTCTTTTCTTGCTTGTTGACTGAATGAGCATTATGATTTTATTTTGGTTTATAATCATTCTAATGCTTCTATTTTATGGAAATAATTAATTAGAGTTGCTTTTCAAATATGAGGTTGTCTTTGGTTTTATTGGTTTTTTTTCAATGACAAAATAAAGTTTGTTTTGGCTTTTTTTGTTTTTATTGTTCTTTTATTTTTTGAGGTTGTTTTTGAAAGCTTTGTTTGGTTGGTGATTTTTTTTAGCTAACATTTGGTGTTCCTTTTTGTGGTTATTTTCGCTTTGTTGTTTTGCTTGATTTATTACTTCTTAGTTGGATGTATTTAGTTATATGGGTTAATTCTTTGTTGGCAGGTTTTTTTTTACTCTTATGGTTTATTTTTTATTTTTTATTTTGATTTTCTTAGTTGGATGTATTTAGTTATATGGGTTAATTTTTTGTTGGCAGGTTTTTTTTTACTCTTTATGGTTTTTTTTTTATTTTTTATTTTGATTTTAGTGAATGTCTTTGGCTAATGTTTTCTTTTAGATATTCTCATATTTTGGCTTCTGACTCTTTTTTATCATATTTGGATTGTGTTGTTCAGATACATGTTGATAAAAATTCATTTATATTTGGTCTTTCACTGGTAATCTCAGATAACTTGAGATGTGATGATTTCTATCCGTTAATTAGAATTCAACCATACTTTCAAATTTAATGTTCACTAATATCTGTAAGAAGTTTTACCTTTAGAAGTCTTTTGTTCTTTTCAGTCGGTGTATGTTTTTGATTTTTATCTTTATATTTATTTTTCTTGAAATTGGATATCTTGACTCTCTTCTTGCTTTGATGATATTTTCAGATGAAAGTGATTTTCTTTGGTGGGGGAACAATGTTTTGATTTTGTCTCACTTCTGGTGGATAGTCAAAGATTGGAAGAAACTTATCAAGCTTTAGCTACTATTTTTCTATCAATTAAGATTGGAATTTGAGCCTCTTGGATGAATCTATATTTATGGGAGGCTTCTTTGTTGGATGCTTATATATATATATATATATATAGGGCTCATTTGGGCCAGCTTATAAGTGCAGCGAAGTTTTGAAAACTCCACTTTGAAAATACTGTCTACTGCGTTTGTGTTTTTTACACTAAACGCAGGCAGCGGGTCAATCCCCGCAGTGGACTGTGTTTCAAGATAAGCTACTTAACCTAAAATGCACAAGATGCCCCAAAGTAGTCTGTTTACTCCGGAGTTTTTTGAAATTAATGAGTCACATTTAAATCAAATTTAATCAAATTAATCTAAAATTTAATAAAACTTTACAAAACCAGAGATCTTATATTGCTCTAGCACCTCCTACTCCCAAGCAATTAGCAACTCTCTCTCTCTCTCTCTTCTCATGGCGGCCACCACTGCCTCCAATGCTGCAAAGTCCGTCCTCCAGTCATTAAAACGCTTCATCAAGAAACCGTGGGAGATCACCGGCCCATGCGCCGATCCAGAGTACAGAGATGCACTACCAGGTGCGCTCGAGTACCGTCGCTTCTGCCCTGCAACAACGCCGGTGAAGGCCATAGTTCCCACATCTGATCCGCAAACTGTTTATGACATCAAGTACTACACGCGTGATTGCCGCCGTGATCGCCCGCCCGTTCGGCGTACCGTCCTGAAGAAGGCCGATGTTGAGAGGATGATGGCCGAGAAGAAGTTCGATGTCGCAACCGATTTTCCTCCGGTTTATCTCACGCAGATTGTTGAGGAGGATTATAACGCCCGTGGTGGCGGATACCAACAATAGGCGAGCTGGATCACTTATTCTGGTCAGTGTTTGTATTTTTTTTTTTTTGGATTAGGGTTTCTTGTTTGGGGGTTGGCTTGTTTCGTAGTTGGGGCTTAGGATTTGATGATTTTTTTTTTCGGGGAAGTTTCGGGTATTATATTTGACTTTGTTTTGGAAGTGTCTGCGGTCGATCATGCTTGTATTGATTTTTGATGTTTTTGAATTTTTTAGTTTATGATGGTTGGTTTGTCAGTTGGCAGATCAGTTTTTCTGAGGTGTTTCGAATCATGGTGATTTCCAGTGATTGCTCTGTATTCTGGATCTTTTAGGAGTTGTTTGGCTGCAGAAAGGATTTAGCATTAGTAGGGATTTAGTAAATCCGGATTTATTAAATCCACCCTCTTGCTAGATTTATTAATTCCAGATTTAACATGAATCAAAGGCAAAATTCTGACTTTAAATCCAAAGTTTGTAAATCCCATCAATAAATCCTGTTAATAAGGGCTACCTCATAAGTTCTAATAGTATAAGCTACCTTCTTTTCACCAATTCCCGACACTTCTTCCTCAGCTACTCCTATTCGATTGGACTGAGCCCCCAACTGTTAGAATCTCTTGCATTAGTTTCAGTTTCTTCTCTTACGTTGCATTGAACGGTGCAATGGGAGGTGTGGGCAGTTCATACATCTGCCCTATGCTAGATGCTGGCTTAGCATACGCTTTGAAGCTTCTTGGCTTAGGCAACACATGGGTGTGTACATCCATCATTCTCTTCAACTGCTCCACCATCCTCTAGAGCCTTATTACTTTCATCGTAGAAGGTTGTACTTTCTCCGTGTTTATCATTGGGCCGTTGATGACAATTGGGGGAAATCGACAGCATCCCTTTCTTCTTTAGCATTGTAACCATCTCCATTCTTATTCTTACCAGATCCTATTCTGACCTCTCTTTGATGGTCCATGTATCGAGCTTCTTTTGCTTGCAGTCATTCTCCATCGCGGGATACTTCCAGTAAATGTCTTCATCCTTGGTCATCTCCATCGCCACTGCACCTTGTACAGGCATCGAAGACCTGTTTTCAAGAAATGCATTAATTTTGGCACTGTCTTCTTTCCTACTATTTCAACATCCTTACAGTTCTAATTCTGCCTTCTCCCTCGTTTTCTCTGTGACATTGGCCTCTTGCGGTTTGTAGCTTCGAAGCATTTCTTATAGTGAACTTAGGCGCTTGGGGATCTCTCCTTGGTGTCCACTGTCTTTTTTACTTGACTTGCAGGAATATATTAATGGAAGGACTCTTTACTAGGGTCCATATTTTGAGCATCAGTTATTGTTTTAGAACTTGAGAAAGCACAAGTTCTTTGGAAGCTGAAGACTATGAAGTGTGGACATTTAAAAACCCTCTAAACCTTTTGTAGACTTTTAAATTTTGGGAGAGGTTGCGTAATCCTTAAATTTTGTGTTTCCCATGAAGATAGTAATCATATTACATATTGGCTGATCGTATCTAAAGTAATTAATATCAAGTACCCAATTACTCCAACCTCAGGAATTCTCTTGTACTCGTTTTCCTTGGATGTCTCTTGGGAGGGCCTTTTTTTGATCCTCTTGGTAATTCTCAAATGACCACAAGCTTCTGCTATGTTGCTGTTGGAAATTCGATTCCAGTTCATGTCGCATGTCTCATTTTTTACGTGTGACAAGGTTGCATGGCTTGTTAATAATTCATAGTATGAATATTTAGCAGTCTTATATTAATTTATTCGAGTTGTTGTATTAACTTTGTGTGATTTGAAATGCAAAATGTCATTTCATTGTTCTTGACTATAAATTGACCTCAAAGGACTCATTAAGTGCACCTTCTTAGTACTCAACTATGTCAGTCGGCCTTAGCCTTCATTTAAGTGCGTCAATTCTGGTTGACGGGTCAAGTTCATGTTTGGCTTTAAGATTACTCAATCTGAATATACTTGACTTTAACCTAATTCTCTTATTATGTGTGTCAAAATACTCAATCCGAACCCACTTAACTCTAAATTGAATAATAAAAGCGTCAGTTTTGAATTGATTTTGGGTTATTTGAGTCAACCTGAATGATAATCAGATCTAGAATTTTGACTCAAATAGTATTCAGGTCAACCCAAACTCAAAATTTTTGAGTTAGGTTCGAGTGCGGTTGTCATTGTGGTCGTGTCATTTATTCACACCCCTAAGCTCATTCTCTTGTTTTCTCTCGGTATTGCAAATGTGAATCTATCTCCACTTGGACATCATATTTGCTCTTGGGGACAGGACAGTCCCATATCCAAGCCACCCTGCACAGTGAGAGTTCTATATCATATGACGTGAGAAAGAGTGTGCCTAGATCCAAGATTCAATAATGTTTCCGCTATATGCATCGTCTTACTATGTTGGGATCTACATTTCCATAGTGACGCCCATGTTCCTAAACTTTCCTTTTTGGTAGCTATTGTTTCCAAATACCTACTGTTCCTCAACACCTGGATATCACCATATGTTGTCCTTCCACTATAGAAACCAATAAAATTTTTTAAACTCATTTATTATTTGTCAAACATTTGAGTTTAAGATTCTTACTTCTGGTCATTTGGATCTTTTGGTTGAAAGTTTTTTTAGTAGCACCATGCACAAAATCTAAAAGGAATTCAAGCTTCCAAAAGAGTTTTGCTCAATTCGGTTATTTATCTTTTCTTCTTTTTTCCTCTATACTAATCCTCCCAAAATCTTTTTAAAAAATCTTCCACAGTCATTAGGATTTGTGCTCTATACTTGTTATCTTTGCTGTGATGGATACCTTTTCTTGAGTCTCGCTAAAATGGATGAATGCCACATGACATGAGCACTATAAATCTTTGGTATCTGATGCACATGTGATTATCTCATTCTTGCCTATTTACAGAGCGATTCAAATATGGCCCGATTCCAATTTCACTCTTTTCTCTAATGTCTAAGCAAATAGACATTCTTCTTGATAGAGACTAATAAGACTGACATTTACACTTGGGAGGTATGATGATGCTTTAATGTCAAATTGATGTAGCATCATACTAAAACATGCCCTTATTCTCTGTTATGGTGTCAAAGTGGTGGTGAATGAAATGCGGAGGAGAGGGATTGGGTTTTGAATTCGGCATGCATAAGGAAATGAGGAAATGAAGGAAATAACATAAATATAAAGGGAATATAATAAATAAGGGTTGTTAGAAGACGAGTAATAATTGTTTAACACTACCTTGCTAAAGTTTCTCGTAGGTTTTGTTGCTTGCTGCAATGAATAATAGTCTTTCATCATAACATTAATTATCATACTAATTAAAGCGCATGAGTGACTCTATTTTAGAATATACTCTATTGACATAATCCCATTTAGACAATAATATCATGAATAGATTTTATAACAGCACTAAACCATGAAAATAAACTTAACTATTATGGCTATCACAAAACTCTAGAAGTTCAAATGTTTATGCTATCCACAATCATGTAATGTATGCATTGTTGAACTTTAAATATTAGATATGAGCTGTTGGTCCATTATCAAAGCCTTTGGGTGAAATCTAGACATGGACTATCAATTCCCCAAGTCTTTGTGGAGTGGAATTGGTCATGCATCACAAATTTGGAGATCATTAATGATTTTATGTTTGCTTTACACTTTATACATAATTTCTATGTTGGTTTTCTTGATTGTCGCCAGGTGTTTATTAAAATATCTTTGGAAGAATATATTATTCAAGACTTTTCTCTTTTTGCTCGTATTCTGTGTTTGGTCTACCGATGCAATACTTTTAGGGAGCCTTCTGTTACGTTTGTATGGTTTATGTTTCTTTGTATTTTTTTTCATTACATCAATCAATCTAGATTATACTTATCGTGATCAATACTTAGCAAACGGTACATGTGAATATTGTTGCTGCCATATTATCCGGACCATCTATGACGTGTTTTTGTTGAAATAATTTTTTTTAAGGGACAAAAGGATTAATTAATAGACATGAAGGTCCTTTAGTCGATCCTCTTATTTTTTCTCCTTATGATTTTGCTAGTGTTCCCAAATTCTACCCATGATTTTTTTGATGTGAAGTTTTTTGATGATTCAAGCATTATTCAATATCAAGTTTCTATCAAAAGTCTTCTTGGATTGACAGATAAAATGTTTTAAATTATATATTTCTTTAAGAGGCATAACTGCATAATATTTTTTTCTTCACTCGCAAATTTACAATAACTATTTCTGATGACAATGTCATTGACTTAGCAGGTCTCTGAATTTAGGTTTGCTTCTTTGAGTTTTTATAGGCCCTTTTTTGTAACTGTTTTTTTACATTATGTTTTTTTCACTGACTAGTAATGAAATTTTGTTGCCTTTTAAAATCAACAACGATTAACTCAACTGAAAAATAGAATCATTTTAGAAAGATTGAACTAGTTGAAGTATATTAGAACAAAAGGATTAATTAGTAGGCAATATGTTAATCTGTTTTTCTGTTCCAGAAACCTTTTTAGGTCATGTTTTCATGATGGATGTTAAGTATTAAACAATTTTATCAAATTTTTTTTAGATCTTTTTATAAGATGATTCTAAACTTAGATACATTATTATATTGCTGAAGTATAGGCAGCGGATAAATCTCAACTGATAATTCCTCATTGGAAGGCTCGTATGGACTAGCTTTGGCAAGTATGAGCTTCATAGACTTGAGGTTAGATTAATGTTTGGCAAAGCATGGATTCAGGCTCAATTTCTCAAGAAAGTTGAAGTCTATGCTCATAATGCAATTGAGAATTTCTTTTCTATCATTTTCTGAGAGCGCCTCACCATCCTCTATATTTGCTTGAACAACCTTAATAGGGGGATCTAAAAGATCTAAAACTAGTGGCATGGCTTTGCATTTGGATATTGAAGGATTGACCTTAGATGATTCAGGTGTTGTATTGATTGTCAAGAGAACTATAACATAGATTGGCTTTAAATGATTGGAGATTTATATACAGGTGATGATCAACGTGTTCATCAAT